GAAGAACAATTTGAAAGACTCATGAATGTTTTGGCTGCAGCTCTAGGTAATAAAACTTCAACTCCTCAGATCAATCCTTTTGAACATTTTGATCCAAATAATGATAAATTCAAATCATATTTGGAACGTTTTGAAAATTATTACAATTTGAAGAACATTGAAGAAGACAAGATGAAAGCTCAACTCCTGTGCTCATCCATTGGTAAGGAACATTACAATAATCTGACATCTCTTTTGGGCCCAGACAATCCTGTAAAAGACCTTAATTTTTCAAAATTAATCGAACATTTCACAATGATGTTGTCACCTACAGTATCTCATATTGTTGCACAACACTATTTTCTCAGTGTTTCACAACAGTTGCATCAATCTATCTCTGAATTTGTCACAGCCCTGAAAGGCAACCTGAATGATTGTAATTTTTACACTTCTTGCAATGAATGTGAAAGTAAAATTTCAATTGCTGACGAATTTCTCCGCCCTCAATTTATTAGAGGACTAAAAGACAATTGGATACGTGAACAACTTCTACAAGACACTAATCTCAACAGTTTTGACTCACTCCTCAAGAAAGCAATTGCCCTAGAAGCTTCCCGCTATGAATCAAATTAAATTTGTAATCCTGTCACACAATCATCAAGTGAAAATGCAGATACACACAAAATTGATAGGCATTCAAGGTCTAAGGCAAAAGAATATCAAAGTTTCAAGCAATTTAAGACTCCCAAATATGATGACCGCGTTTCCAATAGATCTCAATCACAACATTTCCATAACAAAAGCTTAAAAAGACACGTTGACTACAAAGCTTTGGGTATTGATGGACTTTGTTTCAAATGTGGTCGATCAAACCATCAGTCTAATGAATGCAAAACTAATCGGAATTATCTTAAATGCACTTCCTGTGGAAAACAAGGCCACATATCAAAAGTGTGTATAACGTCTCTACTGAAGAACTCTAAAACAAACACCCTGTTGTCTCACTACACAGAAGATGAATTCAGTCACCCAGATGAGTATGGAATCACACAAATCAACGATGTGGAAGATCTTTACATAGTAGGACCAGACTAAGACAAATACATGGTTACAGTCACTATCAACAACAAGCCTCAGACATTTGAAGTAGACTCAGGTGCACGATTTTCCTTAATCTCAGAAACGGACTTTGATAAACTTGGACTTAAAGTGCCACTTCAACCAACTCCTATCTCATTTCGCTCCTACACTGATCATATAATAAAACCTAAAGGTAAAGTAACTGTCTCAGTCTCTTACAATGCAAAATCATTAAATGCTGATTTATTTATAGTACCTGCTGGTCATTCTGCTTTGTTAGGACGAATTTGGATTCGTGGACTAGGAATTGAACTCAGTGAGGTAGGCAACAGAAAGCAATCACCGATTAATACAGTTGATGTTAATTTAGTACCGTCTTTAGAGGATATATTCGAAAAATACTCAGAAATTTTTGAAGAAAGAATCGGATGTGTTCCCAATGTTGAAGTCAAACTCCAACTCAGAGATAATGAAAAACCAGTTTTTACTAGGGAACGTGATGTCCCTTTCGCATTACGAGAGAGAGTGGAAAAGGAACTTACAACCCTCGAGTCTCAAGGAATCATAACTCCAGTCGCATCAAGTGATTGGGGATCACCATTGGTTGTTATCCCAAAGCCAGATGGAGGAGTCAGACTATGTGTGGATTACAAGTTTGGGGTCAATTCAAAACTTGTCTCATCTAACCACCCCATTCGACGCATTGATGATGTCCTACATAGTCTCCGCGGATCAAGATACTTCTGTAAGTTGGATCTTCATAAGGCTTATTTGCATCTAAAGGTTGATGAAGAGGGAAGTAAGATTCAAACAATATCAACCCATAAAGGAATGTTCAACATGAATCGTCTCAGTTTTGGAATAAAAACAGCCCCTTCTGAGTTTAATCGAATTTTGTCACAACTGCTAAACGGATTATCAAAGGTAGAAGCATACTTTGATGATATCATTTGTCACGGTGAAACTCTCGAAGAGTGTATGAAGAACCTTATTGCATGTTTGGAATGTCTCAAGAAGAGTGATACACACAGTTACTTCTATTTCAGCATTTTGTCTTTTTATATTCTAATATTTCCACTCAAGTCATCTCATACATAAAATACAATTAATTAGGTATAATAACTTATTTTAATTAAAATTACACTTGATAAAGTCACTTAGGCTGTAAAAAGGATTTTGAATTATCCAATTATAAATTCTATAAAAAAAAAAAAATTATAATTAACAAATTTTGAACTGTCAGGTAGTTTATTTAAAAAAAGCAAATTGAGTTGATTTTGAAGGAGTCACCCGTTTTAGCATGTCTATGAGGTTTCATGCTGAGCTTGCCTCCACCCCTAGTGTTGTACTAATGAGTGTCGTATCTAAGGGGGAAAGAATGCAAGTTTGACTTGGTGTAGAGTAATACTTGAAAAATGTACAAACTAATTACTGTTGGAATTTTTAATTCTATGAAAAGAGGTTTACAATGGGCTAGGGATCTAGAATTAGCAATATTACGTACTGCCTTTTTTTGAATCGTCAGAATATCAGCTACATGAGGGGAATGTCCCCAAACTAGAATGCCATATGTGGGACTGAAACAGACCAAAGTACAATAGTCTCAAATATTCTTGGTTAACAATTTTTTTTTTTTAATTTCGATAATAAGCAATCTACTCTTGATAACTTTTTGCAAACCATCTCAATGTGATTTGAAATCATAAAAGCTTGACAGAATCTAGTATAATTTCCTGCTTGAGACTCAATGTCAAATATTGTGTCTTTTCAAGATTAGAATGTAGCTCATTTGAAGAAAACCTAGCAAGCAGTTCCTCAGCTTCTGCAGTGACCTGATTCAGGTACTCTAAGTTTTTGGGACTGGCTAGTAAGTCAGTTCCCATCCTTACTGAAGATCTCAAAAATATACCCTAAACACAAAAAAGGCTCTGTTATAGATGTTGAAAACTACCGCCCTATCTCACTCGTATCTGTTTTCTCCAAAATAATTAAAAAATTGTTCCAACCCAACTAATGACTTTTTTTGCGGAAGAAAAACTCATCAGCCAACACCAACATGGATTCATTAAGGATAGGTCCACATCAAGTGCAGTTACAAATATTGTTGAGTTCATCAATGACCAGCTAGAAGACCGCAAACATGCCTCAGCAGTAATGCTTGACTACAGCAAGGCATTTGATTGTCTGGGTCCTCATCACAAGAAAACTAGCATCCCTTGGAATTAAAGGCAAGGCGAATGCATGGTTTGCTAGCTACTTTCAAGGACGAATGCAGGTTGTTGAAACTCAGGAATCATCCAATGGAATGAAGAAAACATACATATAAGAGCCACAGCCAGTCAAAAGAGGAGTACCAGAAGGGTCTGTGCTCGGCCCGATGTTGTATGTTTTATTCACAAATGACTTACCTAGCATGATCAAGGAAAACACTACCTCTGAATGTATCATGTACGCAGAAGATACCACTCTCCTCTTACACAACAACAGTGCAGAGCAACCGAACATAGATTCTCTCACCACACTCACCAGAGCAAAAAACTACTGCATACAAAATTATTTGGCCCTCAACCATACAAAAACTGTTTGCATCAATTTCAGCCGTAAAAACAGAGCAAATAGCTGACCTAACAGATCTGAAAACTGTACAAAATTTAAAGTTATTAGGAATCACACTAGATGGCCTTACCTGCAACAATCTCATCGATGATCTTTGTAAGAAACTCAGCACTGGTGTATACGTGGTGAGAAGAATTAGATGGATTGGTGATTTATTATCAGCAAAAACAACCTACCATTTTCTTATGGAGTCACATATACAATATGGTCTTGTTGTCTGGGGTGGGACTACTGAAAGCAACCTTAACAGGATATTGAAGCTGCAGAAAAAAGCCATACGTATACTCGCCAACCTCCAACCCTTAGGCAGCTGCAGGGAAGCTTTCAGATCGCTTGGTATTCTGACTGTTGTAAATCTCTACATCAAAGCAGTAATCCTTCTGGTGAGTGAGACTGACCTGCCAAAAAGTACAAATATTCACACTTACAACACCAGGCAAGGAAACAACTTCATTCTGCAAGTACATCATACCACCCAGTACGCCAGAAAACCATCCTACACTGGCCGCAAAGTCCACAATAGCCTACCACCATCACTGAAGGGAAAACCGCTGAAAACACAGCTTCACAAGTGGCTGATAGACAGACCTGCTTACTCCTTGAAGGAATTCCTCGAATCCGATCTACATTAATAACCTGCACTGAATTTCACAGCATATTGTTTAACACTTGCATTAAAATAAATTTTTTTATAGTTTCCTCTTAAACACCGTTTTTTGCAATTTCACAGTCCATCCATGTACTAAGCCATAAAAATCCATGTACTAGTTTTAAGTTATATTATTATATGACGCTATTGTAATTTCCTAATGAAATATATTAACAAGTAAAGAATATTTTGATTTGAAACAATAATTTCTTTTTTTAAGCTCTACAAACATTTTTTGCTTTAAGGGTCAAAAATGGGAAAAACCAATTTTTACCCCATAATACCCAACATAAAGCCAGTTCCCATAGTCCGATCATGCTGGTTCGCAAACTTGTTAGAATAAACATAGGTTTACACGTTTGTACCAAATTTCATCAAAATTGGATCATTTTTGCTTGAGTTGTCGCGCTAACGGACATATATGTATATATATGAATTTGAACGGAGGGTGTTTTTAGCCTCTGTTTACCTCATAACGAAAAAGTAAATCGGTCCCAGGTCTAGGTCTTACCAAAAGACCTACGGTAATAGCTTATTCCCTATATGGGAAATTCGCTAAAAACAAACACAAGTTGTTAAAGAAGTCATTACAGTCTTTTGGCCATTGTGTCAGTTATTTTTATCGTTACAATGTATTAATAAATCAAATTCATTAATGAATATATATTTTTTGCAGATGATGTATGTAGCATACATAAGTAACAGCAAGTTTATGTCATTGTCTACTCTACCAAATGTCACATTCATGCGGCGATCTCTAGCTGAAATGTTCTGTCTGGATATGACCGTCTCTTATCAACACGCTTTTCTGTACATTAGGCAACTGGCTATACACTTGAGGAATGCCATCACTGTACACAAGAAGGTAAGACCATGTCTATGATTATGATTATTGACGGTTTTGAAGCTAATGACATTAATGAATATTTTACAAAAATGGGGTCTGGTATCAAGGCTGATGAAGAAATTATTAAATTTTATATGACTAATAAACAAGATGAAACTTGAAACGAATGTAGATTTAGTGCTGTCACCGAAGCAACTGTAAAACTAGTGATGAATCAAATAAAGTCTAAAGCTGTAGGCAGTGATGAAATATCAATAGACATGTTAAAAGCTGTGAGTCCGTTTGCTATTGAAGCAATCACACATCTTGTAAATGAGTCACTCATCAGTGGAGTATTCCCGAATGCATGGAAGCAAAGTATTGTCAGGCCATTGCCAAAAACAGCTGCACCAACTAAGGTAGAAGATCTTAGACCAATATCAATACTTCCAGCAATATCTAAAATATTAGAGAAAATTGTGATTGACCAGATATCCCAATTTATGAATGACAATAGGCTGCTACCTAAACTACAGTCAGGTTTTAGAAAAAACCATAGCACATGTAGGCCTACAGCTTTGAACAATTTATTCTGTGACATGATTGATGCCAAGGACAAAGGGAAACATAGCTCACTTGTCATGCTTGATTACTCCAAAGCATTTGATTCTATGGACCATAGTATGCTGATTGCAAAATGAAATATATGGGTTTTAGTGATAGAATCACTACCTGGATTCGCTCTTACCTTATGACCGAATGCAGGTTACCAGATTGGGTAGTGAAACATCGTATCCCCTCGTCAAAAAACGGGGCGTTCCTCAAGGTAGCTGTTTGGGGCCTGTACTTAACACGCTTTACACAACTGACTTTCCCAGCTGTGTAAAACATTGTACTGCACACTTGTATGCAGATGATTCCCAGTTGCACTTGTCTTATGAGCCTGGTTACATGAGTGAGGCCATCGACAAGATCAACACTGATCTGGAGAACATCTCCAAATGGTCTAGCATTAATGGGCTTAGGCTAAATCCAGACAAGTGCACTGTACTTCATACTGCCCCTGTGAACCTAGTACAGACACTAAGAGATAATGGCTTGAGCATCAATCTTGATGGCAGGAGTCTGGCAGTCTGTGACAAAGCCAAAACTCTTGGCGTCATTATTGACAGAAATTTGAATTTTAAAGATCACATCACGCATGTCTCCCAACGAGCAATAGGAAGACTGAGAGGTCTGTACAGGTTCAGAGGTATGCTGCCTGAGGCTGCAAAGCTTCAATTCATGCAGTCACTGATATTGTCAGTAGTCTACTACTGCTTCCTTGCATATGGCAATAGTATCACTAAGGAAGACATGTGCAGAATACAGCGAATTCAAAGCTCAGCAATCAGATTTGTATTCTGCCTTAAAAAAATTTGATCATGTTTCCCCTTTCCGTGAAGCAGCCGGGATGTTGCCCATGGAAGCCATGTGCAGGTTTTTGACGTGCTGCATGACTCACAGGGTACTGACTCTCCGTGAGCCCGACTTTCTTTGCCCGGCTTTCTGTCCGGGATGAGATCATACATTTAGGACACGTCATGGTGGGAGGCTTCACTTTCCAAGGGTCACCTTGGAATTCGGAAAGAAAAGTTTCTCATATTTCGGACCCACATTGTACAACGGACTACCCGAGAGCCTAAAAACCGTTGCATCCAACAATACCTTTAAGATTAAGTTTAAAAAGTTTTTAAAAGATATGAATGTTTAGTTGTAAGTGCAATAGGTTAATGACAAAAGTTGTTCTGAAAAACTGACATGTATCAGAGAAACGCTGGCTAATAAAGACGTTTATATTTATTTTATTTATTTATTTATTATCATCACCACCACGGAAATAAGCATTGCTCGGTGGGGTTTCATTTGTTTTGGAGGTTAACAATATTAAAACATACATATTTATGATTGTCAACAGATTTTGGTTTTTATAAAAAACTAGCAGAGTACCCGTCCTTCGTACGGGGTTGGCATATAAGTATAAATGCTTATTGTAGTTATGGGAGAGGACACGGTTTAAGAAATTTTTGTCTTTTAATTTATACGGTATCCTATAGTGTCCTACAGTATCTACCATAGCCCTAATTTTCTACCACTGCACCTAAACCATGAAAAAAAGTTAAGTTCTCATTGTGTACCACAACTTTTTGTTGCTAGTTGGTTAAAATTAGCGTTAGTATTTTTCGCGTTTACTTGTCACAAACATCCATCCATCCATCCATACATCCAAACTTTCTTACTTATAATATTAGTAGGATAAGTAAACTGTTGTAATATTGCTTGTTTATGGATCAATTTTTATCAAACTTGGCAAATGTATTTATTTCATAGTAAGCTAATGATATGTTCCTTAAAATCACACTTCGTTGCCCTCCCTGTAGGCAGCAAAAACCTAGGTACTCGTTAAACCTAATGTTATCGTTGGTGCAATTAGTAGCGCCATTTGAACAGCTACTGCAAATCAGCGCTACTATTCTATTTGCTAGCAGCTATACCCGGGCCTTGCATCGGGGTCAGTATGCAAAAGAGACAATGTTGGTTCTTAGAAACATGCCAAATGGTTTTCCAAATGCCAAATTTAGAAACAAAATTTAACTGTACTACTTAACTTGATAATAGTACGTTTTTGTTAAATCTTACTGTGATTACTTATTTATGCTACCTACCATACAAAACCAAAGATAGATTTTAAGGTATAATAAAAGAATGTATTTCATGGTTTGCACTGTAAACGAAAAACTATCACAATAAACCTCATAAAACTCAGAATAAGAGCCTAGATTGATAGGGCAATGATTATAGAATCTTAATTATTTCCTATATCCATGAACAATTTTTTTACAACGAATTATTCCCTCTAAAATATTATTACAGCATTTCACAAATATTAGAACAGACTCAGTATAATAGATCATAAACATAAACAAATGAAGTAACTGAAAGATTCATATACTAATGAAATTCAAATTATATTAACATATGGTTTGACAGCTCCATTTAAGTAATGTCAAATAATGTTTACATTCGGGCTAGTGACATCATTATTTTAAATTTATAATCCTTACCCTCTCTGTTCTAATATTCGTGCAGTATTTAATATGTTTGAACCAGCTGTGTGGAAATATGAAATCAACATTCATTTGACAGTTAGTTCTGCTTGTTTACATTTTTAAACTTTGTAGGTTTGTTCTTTGTTACCATGGATACCATCAATCAATATTTACTTTTAAATCTCTCACCTCAAATTTTTGAAAGCCCACGGGGCAGAGCCCTAGGACAATATCGAAGCGGGAATAGTTCTATATGTATCCTCGGAGCTGTAGCTTCATTTGTGTGCAATTTGAGCCCAGTCGGTTCAGTAGTTTTTGAGATTACCTCATACAAACACACACACAGACACCACCTCTTCTTTATAATAGTACTAGCAGAGTACCCGTCCTTCGTACGGGGTTGGCATATAAGTATCAAATGCTTATAGCAGTTATGAGTGAGGACATGGTTTAAGAAATTTCGGTTCTTTTTGAAGTTCGTTCGCTACGCTCACTCACCTTTAGGTTGAAGCTCGTTCGCTGCGCTCACTTTCCTTCAGGTTAGCTCGTTCGCTACGCTCACTTGCCTTCGGGTTAGCTCGTTCGCTACGCTCACTCGCCTCCAGGTTGAAGTTCGTTCGCTACGCTCACTCACCTTTTGCTGTTGTCATAAATGTAAAAGAAATAATAGTGCTAGTGCTGAACCCTGTTGGTAATCCTTGTAACTTTTAATGCTATTGAACATCATAGAACAGAACCAACTTGTTTAATTGAAACAGCTGTTAAGATTCATTAATTCCATTTCTCATAAGGTTAACATGGGAAACTCCAGAGCCACTGGGGCGGAGCCCCGAAGGATTTTTTGGGATAAAAATATGCCTATATGTTAATCGGGAATGTGAGCTATCATCATGCCAAATTTCAGCCCGATCCGACCAGTAGATTTTGAGATTAGCTCATACAAACACACACACAGACACCACCTCTTCTTTATAATAGTATAGAAGTATAGATAGATAGATAGATAGATAGATATAGATAATACTATTATGAAATACTGTCCAAAATAAGTAACAAAAACTAATCTTACGAAAACATTTCATCATACTCAAGTATCAAGTATTTACATATACATTTCTAATTGTATTAACAATTTCCTCATCTTAAGACCTATTTTAAGTTATATAAACTTGCATCACTTTCATCGTTGACAAAAAATACCAAAATAAAAACCAATATTTGAAAACAGCATACCTAAATAAATAGTTTGCGAAATACTGAAATAGCTATCTTTCTGCCTGTAAGTGTATTGCCATGACGATGGTGGGAAATCCCCCCGCTGCAGCAAACCTGCCGTCTAAGCGAATTTCCATTTGCCTGAAATGATATTCAATTAATCTACAGTAGAGTCTCTATAAACCGGCCGTTCATTAGACCGGCACGTCCAGTAATCTGGCACTGTGTTTCGGTCGATTAGTCAGTAAATTTTCATGTCTAGACTTGAAAACGCGAGTGTCCATATTTCACAACAGCAGTACACTGACGACTGACGTCTGCTACGGGTAGTTGCGTACAGTGCGTGGCATGTGAGTTGAGTGAAGGTAGTGTTGTGAGTACAGTACTGTGCAGTGTATATACTATACAATCTACAAGTGTAGTGCGATGTCGGGAAAACGTAAGCATGTAACGCTGACTTTAGATAAGAAGTATACAATTTTAAAACGTTTGGAAAAGGGTGAAAAGTTGGCTCATTTGTCTAAGGAATACAATATCGGCCGTGCAACTATAAACGACATAAAGAAGAAGCAGGAGCAAATCAAATCATTCTTTAAGAGGAGTAGTGAATCATCTTCGAAGGTAAGAAAGACATTAAAAGTAGGCGAATTTCCGCAAGTAGAAGACGCACTTTAATTGGTTCATGCAAGAAAGGAGCCGACACACGCCAATTTCAGGTGATATTATAATGGAAAA